CCCGCCTCGGCCTCCCAGAGTGCTAGGATTACAGGCGTGAGCCACCGCGCCCGGCCTGATTTCAGACTTTGGAAACTCAGTTCCTTGAAGACTGGAATTGTGTCTTGTTAAATATTATAGTGAGCCCTAGTTTTAAAAAAGTGTGTATTTAGCGAATGCTTAATGTAGGGACAGTAATTTCTAAGTACAAGACCTTTGGTATTAATTTCTAAGTCTCCAAACAATTTTTAGGAGATCATTTTTATGAGCTGACTCTCATCAGTATTTCCTGGGAACCAATAATCATGTTTTATTAAGTCTTTCTGTGCCAAGCGTTTATTTTTCTCTTTTGTTTTTCAGTTTCTAAGCTGACCAAACAACTAATGCTTCTGGAGACGAAAACGCAGGACCAGGAAAAGGAGCTGACAGAAAACAAGGAGCAGCTGGAGAGTTTCCGCGCCGAATGCGAAGAACTCAAAACACAGTTGAACGGCAAAATCGCAATGAAAGTTCACACTTCAATTGTAAACGAATTAAAAAGGTAAGGATTTAATGTGTTTCGAGCATTAATGAGTCGCCGATGCACGTTATCATAGGCAGAGTGGAGAGACATGGTCAGTCTTTCCCGGAGCCTTTTTTTTAACCAGCACAGGTGTGGGGTTAGATGTAAAATACTTTATCAGAGTAGAGCCTGGCTGTCCTCGAAGGCTGCCGTCTGCACTTCGAATGTGATTTTTTTCCCTGCGATTTCAGCCTTTATTAGTTTTAGAAGCAAAGATCATTTAAAGTAGTAGAACCGGAAATCTAGATATTCAGTAACAAGGAATTGGTTAAATGAAAGGATTCAGCCATAAAAGGAATAAGGGCTGCAGCCATTAAATACGACGTCACACAGGATTCTTTTTAACATGGAAAATAGCCGCAGTGTGTTTTTAAGTGAAGAAATTGTGTTACAAACAGTATGTAAAGAATGATAGTTATTTTTAAAAAAATATGCATGTATATGTGTGTGTGTTGTCGTAACCAGGCACTCCAGCTGGCCTGAGAGTGGGGAGTTCCCAGGATGTGGGACTCTAGCGCTAAGACTGGGTAAGTCCTAGGCAAACTGGGATGAGTTGGTCACTCTAGTATGTGTGTGTGTATAATTACATATGTGTGTGTATATACATAATTACATATGTGTGAGCCACCGCGCCCGGCCTGAGCCAGGGTTCTTGAGAGAAGCAACCAATAGGATATATATGTAGAGAGAGAGAGCTGTTTTAGGAAATCGGCTCACCCAGTTGTGGGGCCGGCCAGTTGGAAACTCAGGCAGAATTTCTCCGTTTCAGTCTGGAGGCAGAAATCCTTTTTTGGGAACCCGTTTTTGCCCTTAAGGCCTTCACCGAGTGAACGAGGCCACCCACGTGACTGAGGGTCATCTCCTTCACTGAAAGTCACCTGACTGTGACTGTCAGTCACATCCACAAAATGCCTTCACAGCAACGGCTAGACGAGTGTTTGACCAGACAGTTGGGTGCCGTAGCCCAGCCCAGGTGACACATTAGAGTAACCATCAGAATGGGTCATTTTAATT